GAGCCACAACTACTGAGCCTGCGCATTTGGAGCCTGTGCTCCGCAACAAGAGGCCACAACAGTGAGAGGCCCGCGCACCGTGATGAAGAGTGGCCCCCGCTTGCCACAACTAGAGAAAGCCCTCGCACAGGAATGAAGACCCAACACAGCCAAAAATAAATAAATAAATACATAAAATTTTTTTAAAAAAATGGTGACTTGCTCAACATTAAAAAAACAAACAACCCAATCAAAACATGGGCAGAAGACCTAAACAGACATTTCTCCAAAACAGACATACAGATGGCCAAGAGGCATATGAAAAGCTGCTCAACATCACTAGTTATTAGAGAAATGTAAATCAAAACTACAATGAGGTATCACCTCATACCAGTTAGAATGGTAATCGTCAGAAAATCTACAGACAACAAATGCTGGAGAGGGTGTGGAGAAAAGGGAACCCTCTTGCACTGTTGCTGGGAATGTAAACTGATACAGCCACTATGGAGGTTCCTTAAAGAACTAAAAATAGAATTACCATATGACCTAATAATCCCACTACTGGGCATATACCCAGAGAAAACCATAATTCAAAAACACACATGCACCCCAATGTTCATTGTAGCACTATTTACAATAGCCAGGTCATGGAAGCAACCTAAATGCCCATTAACAGACAAATGGACAAAGATGTGGTACATATATACAATGGAATATTACTCAACCATAAAAAGGAACGAAATTGGGTCATTTGTAGAGATGTGGATAGGTCTAGAGACTGTCATACAGAATGAAGTAAGTCAGAAAGAGAAAAACAAATATCATATATTAATGCATATATGTGGAATCTAGAAAAATGGTACAGATGAACCAGTTTGTAAGGCAGAAATAGAGACACAGATGTAGAGAACAAACGTATGGACACCAAGGGGGGAAAGCCAGGGCGGGGTGGTGGTGGTGGCGGTGGTGGGATGAACTGGGAGATTGGGATTGACATGTATACACTAATATGTATCAAATAGATAACTAATAAGAACCTGCTATATAAAAAAATAAAATTAAATAAAAATTTTTAAAAAATGGCAACTCTGGGGAAAATTGTATTTTTGTCAAGCATTACTGTAGTTCAAAACTATTAAGTTGGAGTGCCTCAACAATTATATCCATATTTTAATCACAACACAAACTGTGAAAACAGGTTTTCCTCTTGCTATTATGTGTTGGATTTTTCTACAGCAAACACACCATCATTCAGGAAAGTCAAGCTCTCCTGGAATAAGTAAAAGACTGCATCTCAGTTACATTGTTAATCTCCATAAATGACCACTCAATTAATGCCCAGTCTAGTAGAGTTTAAGGCTGACAGTTTTTCAATGTAGAGATGTCAGATTTCATGCTATATACTTGAGTAAATATACATTGCTACCAAGTTCAAAGTATTGTATTTTAAAGGAATTGCAGTGTAACTTCAGTTAAACTACAGTGGTCATGCAATGATTCAGAGAGTGATTACATAGTTTGTAGGACATCCATATAATATTTTACCTAACTATGTGTAAATTTACTATGTTATTGTCATGTTCATCAGAAGAAGTAAATACAACTTGAATTTCACACGACTTTTTTTTTTAAACTTTTGGGCAGCTTTGAGGTTGAAGGCATGGGGTTGAAATTATTGGCAAAAATTGGATTTTGGAACTGTACTTATCTACAGAGTTCAATTATCCATGCTACCCTTTTCTCCATTACCCCCTAAGAATTATCCATGCTACCCTTTTCTCCATTACCCCCTAGGAAACTGAAAGTTGGATATATTAACTTGTCCTATTATCATCAGTCCAGAAGGTTTTACAGACAGGTTTGTGCTTATCTATTACTTGTGAATTTGAAAAAAGTGGACCTTATACGCTGAAGTTCTGGCTTCAATACTTGGCAAAGTTATGTCTCTTTTCTCTCCCTCTTCTTCCTAAGCTTTTACTGTCCTCTTGCTTCTCGTTTTCAAGTCTCTTCTTAAGAAATAAAAACTCACTGTCAGCTAATCTTCCTTCAAATAACAGTAGAAGCAAAGCATAAAATTTAATTTTATTAACTGTTTTCTACTTCATTACATAAGTTCTTCACCTAGTGTGTTTGTGCTTTATTTTAGAGTTTATAAAATTTTGTGATTTATATATTCACATTCAAGGGTCATCTTAGAATCCTGTTCTTTGGTGTCATGAAAAATGCTATTTTTGATCAGTCTGGGCAAATCAGAAGAATGGATGCTCAATAGATATTCAAAAATGATGTTTGTTTCTGTACAACATCATTAAGAGATTATTATACTGATAGTAGAAAACTTTTTTAGGGATCTTATAAAGTTCACATTTTATTTGACACCTAATGGACCTCCATCATCTATAACTACTTTTCGGTTTTCACTTTTATTCACTGTCCCCTATCTTATACATCAGGATACAAACTATGAATTTGTACTTTTAAGTTCTAAAAGCTGAAAATAACAGCTGAAATATTAAACCTGACTTCCTTTGCTTTTGTAATACAGGCAGGTGGTTCAGCATCGGTGGAATGATAAACAATTAAATCAGCACAGTTATACAAGTGCTGAGACGGTGGTGGCTTGTCAGTGTTAAATGAAGGGGTACAGACCTGCCTTAGGGCCATTTTAAACAAGAGTTTAAGAAATGAAATCTAAGCCAACAGAGGAGAGAAATGTTTACGCTGTCAGAAATAAGTAGAATGGTGCCTTGAATGTTCTAGCAAGGTTATTTCGGTAACCAAAGGCATTCTTAATAAAGCTACAATCCTTGGTCTATAGGGTGGGTTTCTATAAATGTTAGAAATACACTAATACTGAATTATTAATATCTTCAATTCCACAAACATTAACTGAGCAGCTAAAATGTGTCAGAGTCTGTGCCAATTTACTGGAGATATAGGATGAACCATCTCTCAACCCTGGCTGCCTCTAAGGATAGGTCTCAATCTCCTAGGAGCCATAAAATAATATCAATACCCCAGCCTCACCCTCAGAGATTCTGAGTCATTGTGACTGGGATAGGACTAGGCACTTGTAGTTTTTTAAAGCTCCCCAGGTGACTTAATATTCAGCAAGAGTTGAAACCCTTAGGTCCTAGGCTCTCATATTCCCTTAGAAAAACACAAAGATACAAATAGCAATGCAGTAGTAGGACAAATAAATGCTGTGGCATCTCAAGTACTCCAAACTTTTCCAACATTTCTTGAGCAAGTACTATGTGCCAAGTGCTTTTGATGGCATCCCTAACAATTCCCAGAAGTAGGTGTTATCATACACACATTGTCAATGAAGACACTGAGGCTCAGGAAGAGTCAGTGACTTGCTGAAAAAATCACAAAACTTCTAAGTGGCAGGGTTAGGCTTTGAACCGAGACACCTTGCCTCCAACTCAACATAGTATCTGGGGAAAAATAAGTAATGAATTTAGGTGATTTTTAAATTTTAATACTTCAAAAAAATAGGTGTCAAGAAGGGCTGCCCCTCAAATAGCTATAGTGGTTAAGATACTTGAAGACAGAGTCAGATTTTATCATTTCTTTCTCCAATACCATTTTTAATATTTTTTTCTGGGGTTTTAAAAACATAGTGAGTATTTTATTTTTCTTCAAGTTGACCTAGTAGAGATCCAAAGACAGCAATGCTTTATAGAAAAGCCATTTCTTCTCTGAGTTGAATCCAATCTGAGCCCTGGGAAAATTCGATTTGAGAGTTACACTGATCTACATATGACATATCTGCATAACATCAGGGCCACCAGTGACTCTGTTGTCCCCACTTAGCTGTGCACTTTAAGTATATAAGATTATGACCTAAGCCATAAGTAGCAGACCCAGGCAAGAGTTAACTAACTAGTCATTTCAGCCTACATGTTTTAATACGTTGTCCTTACCAACATAAACATTATCTACAAAAGGGTCCAGGGTTCCTTTTAATTCCTGAAAGTACCCATGTTATCACAAAGTATAGGAAACAAGCTGTATTGTACTAAATACCTTTATATCTATGATGCAAGCCAGCCTTACAAGACTTGTAGAGAAAGTTTAAATAATAACAGATCTTAAACATAACAGACTAGAAATTATAGTTTTATTCAGTGAGGTAATTACAAGTTATTTCTATATTAATTTGAGTTAAACATTCAAATAAACATCCATGTCCTAAGATCATATAACTCAGATGTGGTACTAGGATACCTATTTTTTAAGAGTGTAAGTATTACTGTTTTAACTCATGATGTTTTAATTCTGCCTGAATATTCCTTTCTTCTCCCTTCATTTTGCTTTCCTGAACCTTCCAGCTAAATGTGTGCCCTCACACTTACTTGTCCAAAATAGCCCAGATATTGGTTTCTTGCTTGAGACATTTATATCCTATGAACCACCAAAGGCACAAAGCACATAGTAGGACCTCATAAAAAATTTCAGAATGGACATTGAATGAATAGAGTGAAATCTTCCAGAGTTTTGACCATTACTTTACTAGAAGCCTCTCCTGCCAACAATGACTGAGTCCTGGGCTAATTCAACAACATTCATATCCATCAGAGAGGCACAGGGGACTGTTACACAGGCACTGCCATTGGAGGCAAGAGAGCATGACTCTCCTTTCCTCTCCATTTCCATGCAGCCTTCGAAGAGTTATTTACCTTCCCTGACTTTGGTTGCCTCTACTGTTTACGGTGGGACTGATAATGCCTTACTTGTCAAGAAGCACAAAGGTGGTCCAGATGATTTTATAAAGTCTTTTCTAGCTCCAAACTATGACAGATCTTTGACTGAATCAAACCTTTCTTAGTCCCATACAAACAAGACAGTTTGGACAAAACACAGAACATCATTTGAAGGTACTGTGTAAAAGATATGTGATAATGAACTAACAGTAATCATCTGATGTAAGTGAATTAACTACATTGCATTGCAAATTCTTACTTATTACTATTAGCACTTTTACCTGCTTATGAAGAACCTTATTTGTTTCTTACCTTTTGACTTCCTGTCATGATATGACCTGCCTCGATAATGAGGGGTGTCCAAATACAGATTCTCAAGATCTTCTTGCCATGATTCTGGATTGAAGTGCTTGAGCAGATCTTCCACAGTATCAAATTCTGCAATTGTTTTGTCCAGAGTATCCGCAGTGAGAGTGGGGTCCGTTACTGATGGAGAGTGATAGGATACCCCCTAAGAGTGACATACAGCTCAGTGTACTCAGAAAAAGTCCATTGCTATGAAATACAAGAGTCACACAACCATATGGAAGGAACATAAACAGACTTCTGATTACAAGACATCATGTACATAAATATCATGCTAAGCCACTGTGCCATAGTCTTGCTATATTCCTAAATAAGAACAATTAAGTGGTAAATCACAGTCATTCACTTTTTTGCAAATCAAAAACCGGAAGGTCATAAAACATCCAGGTCATCTGAATTGTAATCATTAAAAAAAAATACTAGCTAAATGGAAATATCAAAATAAGTCATCCAATTTCTTGGTTCAAAGTCTCAAATCATCATATCCATATCAACAAATAATGGTGAGCAGGTAAATTCTGAACTCCTTTCCATGCAAATATTGAATAATCCATTCATTCTCTCCATTTAGCCTCAGTGTCCCATCTTTGTAGCTCACCTAGCATTGTAGACGTTATTTGAACAGGGTTTAAATTTACTCTGGAGACATCTTGATAAAATTTGGCACCTTAACCAGCTTACTAACTGTCAACAAGGATAATAAGCCATGAAACTGGCCCCCTTGACCTAAGAGTAGAAGATTCACATGTGTGTGTGTGCATTTTTTTTAACATCTTTACTGGAGTATAATTGCTTTACATTGTTGTGTTAGTTTCTTCTGTATAACAAGTTAGTTTCGGCTGTATAGCAAAGTGTATCAGCTATACATATACATATATCCCCATATCTCCTCCCTCTTGCATCTCCCTCCCACCATCCCTATCCCACCCATCTAGGTGGTCACAAAGCACTGAGCTGATCTCCCTGTGTTATGCGGCTGCTTCCCACTAGCTATCTATTTTACATTTGGTAGTGTATATATGTCCATACCATTCTCTCACTTCGTCCCAGCTTCCCCTTCCCCCTCCCCGTGTGTGTGCATTTTAAGTGCTATAGTTTGTGAGGAATCCCAGTTGCCATTTAAACATTCTCAGGAATACTCTTCAAATGGGGAATGCAACATCATTAAAAGTCTGGAAGGGATTATGTATTTTGCCATGGAATACACCCCCACTTAAGTTTCCAAGCACTTACTTCACTAACCCTTGTACAGTCTAGAGGTAAATGAGCCATGTAGCAAACATCTCTGTAAAACTTCATGACCCATTAACAAGGAAATGGAAAGCACGTAGTCTCCAATGATTTCTAAATGTCTTTAAAGAAACTGCCAAACAAATAAGATCCCCCAAGGGCAAATATCTCATATCTCTACAGGAAAAATAAAGATTAACGAAAACTTGCATTTCTGAAACTCAGCTGCATTCCTATAGAGAAATAATATGCCTATGTATTATAGAGTCCCAGACAGTACACTCTCAGGTGATACATTTTCTTTTTAGCCAACCAAGATCCAAAAGTCCCCAAAAGGATCACTTGCTCTTAGGGGGACAGTCTGTCTTTAGCAAAACTAAGAGGTTTTATAAAAGCATAACCTACCATTGGTGTAATTTAGGAGATTTCAAACACGCCCTGTAGGGAA